AGAGAATAATTCCTGCTGAATTTATTGAGCAAATTGCATTCATAAAGGAGAAAAAAAAAACTCCCCCATCTCAATCTCAACTAGACCGCATTAATTAACCTAAACGAAATTCAAGAGGTAAACACACTAAAACCAGAATAATTGATTAAAAAAAAAAATCCATGGTTAAGAAGAGGGAAGTACCGGTGAGCATGACGATGGAAGACTCTGGAAAATTGAACTTGTTGATGAGAAGGTAGCGCATGCACTTGGCGTCGTTGATGCATCCCTTGAGCTCGTGCCGCGAGAAGCGGTAGGAGATGCCAATGATGACGGCCTTCTTGCGGCCGTGGGGGTTGGGAGGAGGGCCGGGCGGCGCGTGCTGGTAGGGGGAGGGCGGCGGAGGCGCGTGGGAGGAAGGAGGGGGCTGGTGAGGGAGGGCGCGTGGGTCGCCGATCAGAGTAACAGCGTGGCAGAGGGCGCAGCGGATGGATCCGGCGCCCGGTGGGATCTGCAGAGCGGCGCGGCAGTTGGAGCAGTTTACCAGCATGTTGCCGTACATCGTTGGTAATTTTGGATAGAGGGTAGGGGTAGAATTGGAATTTCCCGTTTTCGTGGTTTTGTTGAGTACGAGATTGAAGAAGGTGGTGGTGGTGGTGGTGGAGGAGGGCTTTGGCGAGGTTAAGAAAATAAAACAGAGGATGTAGAACTTGAAAGCGTGTTTTTCTACTTTTTAATTGAAAGGGGACGCGTCACTTTATTTTCCTCGAGGTTGATTCGTTGACATTGGTAGCATTTGCAGCTTCTGGGTGTCACATTCTTTCACTTTTCGGGAATTGAATTTCGTATTTAGATCCGGTGGAATCAGTTTATGTTACTTTCCTCGTTTTCTGCAAGCTTAAAGATACTTTTTTTTTTGCTTTTGTTTTCAAAATTATTGACAAAATTTTAAGTTTTATTGATTACTATTACGTGTGTAGATAAATTATACTACTCTGATTTTAAATATAAGAAGAAAAAAAATCATTCTCAATAATTAAAAAAAAGTTAAAATTTTGGTTTGTATAATATAACTAAAATTTATAATAAATGTTTCTTGAATAAATTATATATATAAATAAGTATTATATTTAAATATATAAATAATATTTAAGATTTATATAAATAATTTTTTTAAATATATAAATTATATTTTAAATTTATGATAAATAATTTATATTTTAGTATAATATTATTTTTATTTATTAATAATTTATTTTAAAATTTTGAAAATTTAATTATATATTGTGATAAATAAAAATTGAATTAGATAAAGTTAAAAAGAATTCTAAAAACACTATTGTTGAAAAAAAAAATTCTCTAAAATGATTTTGATGGAAGATAGAAATTTGTATTTAATATATAGTATTGATTAACTTACATTATTAAATTTTACTAATCTCATCTAAAAAATAACTTATTCTCTTAAATTATTCTTTTTTAAAACTTGATATTAACAATAAAAAAGAACATTAAAAACATAGAGATTTTTTTTCTTCTTTTACTTACATTTAAAATTGAAAGGAGTACGTGGGATATTATATTTAAATAAATGAATAAAAAAAATTAATTTTGAAATGAATAATTAATAAGAGATAAATAAAATATTAATATTAATATGAGAAGATAATTTAAGTTAATTTTAACTATTTATAGTTTCTAGTTTGATTATATATATATATATATATATATATATTTATTTATTTATTTATTTATTTATTTATTTATTTATTGTGATACCCACAATCAAATATACGCGGTGTTTTTCCCCAAAAAAAATATTTGGTGTTTGTGTTCTCTTATTTGCTAATTTTGAGTTAAAAGTTATATATTAATGGACTCTTTAAAGATGATTTGCTTTATCAAGTTTAACTGAAAATTAGTCATCAGTCAAACTAATAATAATATAATTAAAAAGATATTTACTGATAAGATTTATGATTTTGAATATCAGTATGTGTTTACTGATATCATTAAAAATATAGTCTTTTTAAGCATGCGTTTTAAAAACATGCTTTGCATTTAAATTCAAATGTGTAGTTAATTAATAGCTGAGTAAATGAAAGATTAGTTTGATTTTAATGAATTCTACAATATCAATAAAAACACTTTATAAGGATGATTTTTTGGTTAGGTGCTTTGTTTATAGACTTGTCTTTCAACTTTTATGTTACTTTTTTTGAAAACAAATATATCATGTGTGATATTTAAAAAGTTTAAAATAATAAAATCAAATAAAAGGTTTCTTTTTAATAATGTAGATTAAAAGTGGTATATAATTATGTAGAAAATACTATGTTGATAAACTATATACACGTTTATGGGGAAAAAAATAAGATAAGGTTTAAAATCTTTTAACTTTATGCTTTGAAAAAAAAAAATCTTAGCAATTAAAACTACAGAAATATACTGTATTTAGTAAAAAAAAAAAAAAAGTTAATTTAACTCCTTCTCTTTATATGTAATTAAGAATAATTATACTGAAAAAAGGATAATTTTAGGTGCTTCTTTTTAAACAATAACGTTTTTAGAGTTTTTTAATCTCTTTCTACCAAAAAAAATAAGTCTTTTGAAAGCTTATGTTTTTAATATATTGTTTTATCTTTATTTAATATTAGATTTTAATGTTTTCTAAAAAAAATATCAGTTGTTAAAAATAATATTATATCATAATAGAAATCATTTATTATAATTTAAAATATAAATTATAAAACCAAAATTAAGCAATGTTGATAAACCATTAATATGTCATCCAAAATTAAGTAAAAAAAATATTTATATTTATAAGTTACACTATTGGACAATTATTAGTTAATTTTCATGTAAGGAATAACATTATTTTTTATTATATATATTTATGTTTCTTTTTTATTTCAATTAAAAATTATAATTTATTAAAATAATTTTAAATATTATTATGGAGATCAAAATTGCTTAAATTTAAACTAAGGAATATATTTGCAATAAAAAATTTAAAGAGATCAAAATTGCATATCTTTTAAAGTATAAGAATCAAAAATGAATTTAAGTCTAAATCTATATCAACATATAAAGGGAATATTCCCTCTTTTAATTTTTATTTTTCAAGACAATTATACTATTAGTTAATCATATGGAATAAAAGTGTAACCACTTCACCCAAAAAAGTTATTTTTTATAGTTTTATTAAAATGTGGGAGGACCGAATCAAACTCACTAATGAAATATAAAATATAAGGAAAGGAAAACTAAAAGAAAGTACAAAGAAATCAAAACAAAAACAAAACAGCCAAATGAAAGCCTTAAATTATGAAAATTTGGCGGATTTAGCCGCTCTAGATCATGAAAATATGGCCTGTCATTCATAGCAGTAGGTGGCTGAGATGTGAGGCTATGCTCCTGGTCTTTTGAATGCTTATTGAGATTCAAATCATGATGAACATTATCATCAGAAATATCCTCCAGAGGTGGCATGCCATCTAGAGATCCACAAGTTGCAGAGATGGCCCAAGGGAGAACCTGTTCCACAATGACATAGGAAGGAGCTGAAGGCTGCAAATCAGAACTCAAATCATGAATCAAGTCAGGAATATGCTCTTGTGGTAGCACGAAGCTGATCCAACTGATTGCTCCAAGCATGCTTGACAGGGTCAGATTCAGCCATTGGATCATTAACAAGTCCCTGCTGTATAATTGGATCAGATGTACCATGATTAAAAGCTGGATCAAAATCCATAGCGGAAACTAATGTAGCATTGATCAAATGCTTTGTGTAACTTCAGGATCACCAAAGTCAGAAACCTCCCTAGGACTAGCACCTTTTCTGGAGACTCGTTTGCACTGATCCTGCTTAGAGGGCGGCACAGGTACTGCATCAGAAATTGATACAGAATAAAATGCTGAATCCAATGCAGGGTCAGCCTTGTATTTGCGTAGCTGCAATAACTGGATCACCAAGAACAGAAACTACCCTCGGACTAACACCATTTTGAACCCGGGATTTTGCAGTGGAACCATGACTAGCACCAGAATGTACTGCATCACCCAAAACTTGTTCATTCCCATCAGCTCTAAGAACTGTTGCAGTTCTAACAGAACGTGCAGCTTCCTTGGAAGTCCCATTCTGACTGAGAAAACAGAACCAAAAGCAGCTCTAGAAGCTGCAGCAGCACCCGAAACAGGTGTAGCACCATAGGCTGGTCCAGCAGCAGCAAGATCAGTTCTAGGAACTGATGCAGCAACAAAACCTTGGTCCTTCTTGAGACTAGATCCAAGATTGGACTCAACTGTTTGTACATATTTCTTATGAATAAAAATTATCAATCTCACTTTTCCAATATGGTATCAGATTAAGCCTACTACTTAACTAGCTTTTCAATCGATCAAATGACCACATCCACAAATAATGCTCTATCGACTTAGTCCTATGACCCCAAGGACTTAGAAGAATTCAACACAACCACTCAATTGCCCATCAAACTTTCCTCTTCCAATTATCCAATGTGTTATTAGACAGATCCATTCCTTGCTCATAGCTCGTGACCTGGATGGCTACGTGACTGGTGCAACACCATGTCCATCTAAAACAATTACCACCGATACTGGCTCTTTGCCAAGCCTATAATTTTTGGATCCGTTAGGATAAATACCTTCATATTGCACTACTTGGTTCTTGTGATGCAGAAGCATGAGTTGCAATATCTACAGAAGAGACATCAGGCCAAGCCTAGCTATCCCTTGAATGTGTCTTTGCCACTCGTTCTTGGTCATAAGTTATGTCTCTTAAAGAACGACACCAAAGGCTCCTCAACCGTTGTTGCTTATTTGCTATCAATTCAGTCGAGTATTCTACATACGTTTTCTGTACCATTTGTTTTTTTTTTTTTTTTTTGGTTAAAAGTTCTTTCTTTTTTTTAATAAAGGGGCAATTTCTTTTTTTTTTTTTTTTTTTTTTTAGGTTACAAGTTCTTTCTTTTCTTTAATAAAGTGGCAATTACTTTTTATTTTTACTTTCTTTAGTTCTATTTATTTCTGGTAGCGAATGTTCATATGATACCTTCGATTGAGTTATACTTAGAACAATTAATCACTGTTGAAGTTTACATCATCGAACAAATTTGCATAACAGTGATAGAATTAAATATTAAAATAAGTCATAGTTCATTAATAAACTCACTTTTTGGAGAAAAAAAAATATTTAAGTTGAAAACTTATAACTTGATTGTTACTTCCAGTAAAAAAATCCCCTTAACAAATTTCACTAAAACAGTGACACATTTTTTGATTAATAAACATGTATTCTACTAAATTCTCCTAATTTTAATAAAATTGATGACAATTACTGGGTTTTCATAAAACCTCATTCACCTCTCGTCGCACACCCTCTGGGCACACCGCGACACTCTCAGCACTTCAATTTCAATCAGGGGAGTATGATTAGAGGCAATCCAAAAGAATCAACAATCAAGAATATCCAATTATCCAGTCAAGTATAATATTGTTCAAAAATATTATTTCACTATTTTTCTGTACCATTTCACTTATTTATTAAGATTGGAATCTAACTAACAGAAAACTGTTTTTTCTCAGTTAATTAAGTTTACAACACATCATTCGTAAGTCTAGCGCAAATAACTTTGAAGTTGGGTAAAAAATACCATTTTATTGTATATATTTCTCCTCTCCTTATTTTACCAAGCAATAATACAACAGTAGCCGGTTGTAGGTTTCACCTCCACACCAGCATTTACATAAATTTACAAAAAGTGGAACAAAAAATGAAAACTTATCTATAAAATAAATTTCCCAAAAGGATGCCATCACCCTTCCTCCCTCTCTCTATACAAGGACCGCAGCAGATATAGATAACAAATCTGCTTTCAGCTAGCTACCTGGTGGTAAGGTTCTAGGAGCGAATACAAAGAAAGCACAATGCCAAAGCGACTATTGCAATGGGCATGAAGCTGTTTTAAACTAGTGTAGCTAGTGAAGCTGCTTTCTTCTACAATCTCAAGCTTCTCTAATAATATATAAGCAGCTGAGATACTCTTACATAACGGGAATAGAGAAGCTTTCATTGTTAACATGATGCATCTGCTTTTGCACAGCCTTCACAGCAGCTACCCTAGCTGCATTGGCTGCTCTATTAGAAGCTGCTACAGCTCTGTTCACCCCTTCATCTACCTTAGCCACATCATAAGCTTTCTCTGCTGCTCGTCTTGCTTCCTATTTGTTAAATAAACACAAAATTTATTATGAAATTTGACTCATAATGCCGTCAAGTAACTAACTGTCTGCAATTCATTTTTCCCTTTCCATTTACAAAGTTTAGCTAATTTTAGTTTTAGCACAAGACAAGATGTCTAAAAATCAGTCTGTAGACTGTATCCTCAATTTCAAAAAAACATAAAAAATCTTCCAGCAATGCCTAAACTCAAGGCTCAAATTGAAACAAATATTTTACTAATACCTATTCTAAGTTAAACATTTTGCTAAGGGCACCAAATATTTACCCTATACCTCAACCATGATCAACTCCTACCTCCTCAAACTCAAGGGCTAAATATAACAATAAAGTAATTTTGCAACAAAAATTAAAAAGCGAAAATGCAAGGGATAACCAAAACCTGAATTTCCAACAAATCAAGTTGCCAAAACACACAAATGGAATGAATCGTCTAATAATAATAATTAAGAATACTACCCAAGCAAAGCTAGTGCAGAGAATAAACTGGGACATCATCCTAATCTTTGGGATAACATATTCATAGCAACCAGAAATGACACTGATACACCAACGACACCAGGTAGACAAAGAAAATAAAATATTCAACAATTCACGTACCTGCACTGCATTGAGTACTTTGGAATGATAGACGCCAACAGGAGAAACTGGATAGGTGGTGTTCTGTGTGCTTGGAATGTCAAGGACTCCATTTTGCCAGTGACCAGATTGGGTTTCACCATTTCTAAATGTATACATTCCAAGTCCTTGCCTTCTGCCTTCATGCCAGGCTCCTTCATAACGATGTCCATTCGCAAAACGATATATGCCAAAACCATGCATCTTGTCCGCGAAGTATTCACCCGCATATGTATCCCCGTTTCTAATTAAACAGATAATTAGTTCCAACAAAAAGGTAACATATAAACTATTGATGGTAGACAAAGAAAAAGGGTGAAGACACTCCATTTATAATTCAAGTTAACAATAGGGCCCTAAAAGTTATTCCTCAGAGGAAAGCCCTCCAAGAGTTGTCATAAATCAGGAAATTTTAATGCATAACATGATTAAGCACCAATTGCTGCATGCAAAGTATCCAACACATCGATACTAACCACAATGTTAAGATTTGCAGAGGAAAACATGGTTAGTATATTTTCAGATGTTCAACACAGTATCTACCAAGGTGCAATCATCAGACTATCAGACAATAGATAGATTAATATAAACTGTACCAAAAAAGGTAAACAGTAGATAAAGAAAAAAGGATGGGCTTTTTGTTGATATCACTCTTCCTGAATCTGAATCAAAATGATACTAGAATCAAGAAGGAAGATGGAAAAGAAGAAAAATAGACAAATATATCAAAACTCCAGGAAATTTGAGTGTTGACGCTTCCTCTCGAAGGGTTGAACCTTCCTAATCACTGTTACACAGAGCATTCTCAGAGGGAATCTGGTAACAAAATTCGCACCATTGGAGCCAAGAAAGTGCTAGAACCCCACAGCAATCATACAACTTGAAATCCATTCCCATCAGACACCTCACACCACTTTGAGATCAAAATAATGCCCAACTCAATTACCTAATCAACCATCTTCCCAATACAGGAAAATGTTGAGCTTCCTACGCAGTCTTACTAGAATTCTAATCTTGAACCACACTCAGCCCATTACCAAATCCCCATCCATCTCCTGCTCTTTGGTCACAGATCTACCAGCTGCATTGATGATTCAAGAAGAATTCATTGGATTCCCTACTCCATTGGAAATTGGAACGTCAAGACAGACATTCCTTGAAGATTATTTTTTAAGGTTACTCGGTCAATCTTCCTGAAGTTCTCTATCTCCTCCCTCTTGAACATCCAACAAACCATGAAAAAATCCTTGGATTTGGGACCTTTGCTACCAGTTGATAGAAACTAGACCAGAAAAGGTAAAGAAAAGAGAAAAAAGATTAATTTTTATGGAACAGCCCTATTCTCCCTGATTCTGAATCAACATGACTGCAGAATCAAGAGGGAAAAGGGAAAACAGAAAAAGAAAGGATACATAGCTTTGTTATCAGAATCTTATGATTCCTTATTTGAAATCTTACAGTTTGATAAAATTTGGCCACTTACCAATTCGTACCATAAGAATCTAAAGTGACTTTGCATCTTACAATACATAAAGGAATTTATGCAATTTCACATCATTAGTACAAATCATATGATTCATTATTTTTTCTCTTTTTACCTTTCTTTCACCAATTCTCATGAAAACATTGAGAAAGTCATATAAGCTTAAATGGTTAAATGAAAAGGAATTAAACGAACACTTCTTAACTTATCATATTTGATTACTCCATTACTCAATTTTTCACCCACTTATTCATGCATATATAGTATTTAGCTATTTACTTGCTTCATTTCCATTCTTCTAAAATAAAGGTTTCACAAACTCAGATATAATTAATATTTTTGTTCCACAAGACTTCTGATTAAGTTGTTTTATATAATTAATAATTGTAGTTTAAATTTTTTACATTGAACACTATATCATCTATATGATATATTTAAAGTAATTTTTCATTGTTTCTGAATCTTACAATGATACAAATTATGATTCATGAATCAAAAATTAGTTCGGCAATTCCCAATATGAAATTGCATAGATTCATTCACGTATCATAAAATAGAAAGTCATTTTAGATTCATCTTATGACACTGATCAGTAGGTGGTTGAATTGTATCGAATCATAAGATTTAAATAGTGAATCATAAGATTCTAATAACTATGGTTTATATTCAAAAAATTCAAACATTTTTTCTCCATTTTAGTAGCTATATTTGTTCCTTAGTTCTTAATAAATAAAATCCACAATCACTATCTTGAATTTGAGCCGAGTCTAATTCAACCACAAATGCTAACTCATGAGGTGAGGATTACCTAAACCTTTCTAAGCTCTACTATGACCATGTTTATAGTTGCTGTGGGATCTCAATATTGGACATCTATAGCATGGAGATTGTATGACTGAAATTTATTTCTAAATATTGCAATGGGAGAGCTGCAGTGCTAGGTAGATTTTTGGACAGCTGAGGGTGATTCAATGCTGAATCTCTGAAAGGCTCTCATACTACCATCTACTTCAATTGGGCCGGAGCCTAATTGAACTCCAAAAGCTAGAACATAAGATGAAGAATGCCCAAACCCTTATAAACTCAACTTTAGCAATATCTATATATGATGTGGAATCTCAACACACTACATATTTGTGCCAAAATCTACCAGCTTGTGATTAAAGAAATCCAATTAGTCTAAAGGTAGAAGATGAGTTATAACTGAATGCCCTCAAAAAATGGTTTCATAATAGTGTACGACAAATTCATCTAAACCTTTGACTTCAATAGGTAAACCAAAGGGCAACCAGAACATTTTCAAACACCTACAATGTATTTCAACAAAACTGAAACCACAAATGAACCAAAATGATGACATGTTGTGTATTTCATCCCTTACAAATACACTCAAAACTCTAAGAACTGCACAAAAGTAATGATATTCAACTATTCCTTAGCCCTACTAACTTATTAGCACGCAGCAAATAAAACAAACACCGCGGACATAACCAGCTCACATCTTAGTAACAAAACCTGCAACACCATCATTCTAGCTTGTGAAAGAAAGACGGCACAACACAAAAGGACACATCGATGCACAGTAGCACACTCAAATACCAGAAACTTCCTCCAACACCTCCACCAAACAAAGAAACCACCACACATGCATTCAAATAACAACAAAGTCCATCCTCAAGTCTTCCACTCCGCCCTATTGAAGCAAACATAGAGTCTGTTTGGCAACAAACCTAAAAGTGCTTCCGAGAGCTTCTCTAAGAAATAATTCGCACGTGTGAACTCCCCAAACATACATATAATAACAAGGAAACAAAAACCTTGATGAGAAAGAAGATGAACTGACCTGAAATGGTAATGACCAAGGCCATGCTTAACACCCCATTTGAACTCCCCAACGTACCTACTCCCATCCTCGCACGTGTGAACCCCATACCCATGGCTCTGACCATTAGACCACTCTCCGGCGTAGACATCCCCGGTGTAAAACCTATATACGCCAAAGCCGTGCCTCAGGCCCTGGCGGTAACACCCACGGTAGCGACTCCCACGTGCCCAAGTCTCAACCCCATAGCCATCATACTTGCCATCGACCCAATCCCCCTCGTACCTCCCACTCCTACTATAATAATACACTCCACTCCCCGAACACTTCCCTCGGTGAAACTCCCCCTCGTAAACGTCGCCGTTTCCGAACACCTGCACCCAGCACCCCGACGCCACGCGCTTCTCCGACTTCGGCCGCGACCCGATCGTCCAGAACACCGGCAGCGCGGGGGCGGGGCGCGCACCCG